ATGCTGAATCCCCTGCTACCCCTTCGGGCGTTGAAACATGACTAGTGCCTTACAATGACTGTCTTCCGGCTTCATCTTACCTTTCCCCATGTATAAACGTAACCATCCACATTGAAAACAGGCATGATAACAAAATCAACTTTGTTCAACACTTGTTGTACCGTTATGTCATCTGAATATCGGGAGGTAAGCTGTGAAGAGAAAGGAAAATAAATCAGGTAGTGTCCCTGTGGTTAAAAGCAAACTAGCTCATCCGCTCATAATTCTTACCTGGTCTATGATATACATACATGTTGCTGGGGAAACCCACTCTCTGGCGTGAATTCCACAGTTGATAAAAACCAGTGGCTTAGGGATATGTAGAGTTGATCCGATCTAAACAAGTAAGTGGAAAAATTGTCACATGATATCAATCAAAGGGAAGATTGCGCTGATAAAAGATACAGTTTAAACAGTTCTGGAGAGAACAAATATGAACCCAAAATTGAGACAATTTTAGTGTTAAAAAGGATTTAATCAGAATTTCGCGTTATATACAGCTCCTGTCCAATACTTGGGATATCTTTTTCGCACAGTTTGTAGACGACATGGTTATTTTTGGGCTAAGATAAATGAAAAGTATCATTAATTAAATTAAAATTTACCTCAACAGCGTTCAGTTGTCTTCCCTCGTAGGACTTTCCAAATGAGAGCATGCGCACTCTCTCCTTAAACCTGGCAGCAGTTTCTTCTAATTTGGAAAAAATCTTAAAAGGAAAGTTCAATCTTTTCTAAGAGAGACAAAAGTTACAGTGCTCATATTGTTTCAGCTCTGCTATACTTGAGACGAAAAACCTTACAATACTGATATCATAAAAGAAACCTAGGTTATATATGATTTCCTTTTTGCCAAATCTCTACCATCATTGTCCATGCAAATCTTCTCAAAATACAATTGGATTTTCTCAGTTAACGCTTGGTACAACGATGATGCTCCATGAGATTTTTATGGCATCGTTAATAAGGCGTGAGGTCATTTAGCTACAATTATTACTCGGGCTTTCCAAAGAAAACGTCCGAGTTGAAATTATGGCCTCATTTTTTTTATTTCATTCAGTTGCAAGTCGCAGCCAAGTCAGATAAATCAGCACAGACACTGTGTACAATACGCTTAAAACGCATACAAAATATTCACACAGCGTTAACAGAATGCTCGAGTGAACGCCAATATGCGTAAAGTTAAGGAAAGATACCTGAGCTACTTCTTCGGACTTTGTGAGAAATCGTTTCGATAAGTGACTAGAATGTAAATTCTTTAAGTGAAATTCAGTGTTATAGAAAATATTGTAGTTCATCGTTTGTCTCACGATGAAGAGTTTGACTGTCAACTGTATTGATTACGACGTTCTGACAGCTCTACTCCTTATCCGGAAAGCTGTTATTTGTATGTTTTGGTGCCGGTGCTGCCATTGATGTTTTTCGATCCTCATTATTATTCAGACCATTAGACGTCAGAGTTACAGTCACTACTTCCTCTCATACTGGAAAGAAGGGGATCGAGGAGTCCTAGCTCATCCATTCAAGAGTGATCATAGATCGCTCTTACCCGTGAGTGTCTACCGACAACTATGCTAAAACTCGATAGGCTCGATTGTATTTCACGCTTTTCTTTCTTTGTCACCTACCTCTGCCAGGGTATGGTATTTCTCAAACCACGAAGACTCTTCACGTTTATTACGCCAGTTTCGGTTTTGTCTTTTAATAGCTGACTGTAAGTCGGATATTTGGACTTGAAACTTGATATTATGACTATTTAACAAAGAGGTTATGTTTCTATAAACTTGTCCTGGGGCGAGACGAATGTCAACAGGTGTTCCTCGAAGCGAAGAGTGTGTCCAAAAATCCACCTTTAAAAACAGAAGATACACTCCTATCTTGTCTGTGATATATGCTCTTGCGTACATTTAAATGTTTTAAGTCATTTTGCCCTGTTCACACCAACTTAAACAAGTTTTATGAAACGTAATTATTTTTAAACATGGTTTTAAAAAACATGTGTTTTTCATCAATTTTTAATTAAAAGTCGAAAATGATCCGCAATTGCTTGGAGGGTCTCAATGGAGTCAAGGCTTTTACGGTTAACTAATAAAATTTAAGCCATTTTACGGCTAACTATTAACTTCTTCTCGGTGCGGTTAAAAGAACATTTTCTTACGGTTAACTTTAATCGCTACTAACGGTTAAAATTTTTCGTTATTCATTAATTTTTCTTCCATTTTACGGCTAACGGTCGACCCCATTGACACCCTCTGCTTAGGTTTTGCTTTAATTCACTGTGATTTATCCAGAAAACTCTTATCATCCCTGTAACCAATCAGATTCAAACCTAATTGCAATCGAGACTTGCTCGCTTGGGTTTTCCCCCGCTTCAAGCTCTCGTTCATTATATATTCTCGACTAAGTTAAGCAGGCACATAACGTCTACTTACAACTTCATTGTTAAAAAAGGGGTGAAGTGACCGGAGAAAATCAACCTGTGCCTTTGTCTTGGGAATGACTCTCAAAACTTTGTGCCTGTTTGAAAAAAAAACAGAACAAAACAAAAGCTCATGATTAATAAAACATGAAGATGATACAACTCTTGTAGACTGAAGCACTCCTAAAGCTCCTTTCCTTTGTTCACGAATCCCCATTTTTTCCTAATTTACATCTGATTCCTATTTTGTTGTTTTTCTTCCACGCCCAACTGATAATTTTTGGTTTCTGTCACGATACAAGTAACTCAGCATTTGGCAAATACATGCACTTAGGGTCTCATTCCTCGAAATCATTTTATCTTTCCATCAAAACTTCAGGTGTTGTTTGCAATGCATTGCGAGTTGAGTACGCTCTACTTACCCAAAGTAAACTTTCCTTGAATCAATACATTTTACCAGGTAAGTTAGAAAGAAAAGGACACCAAAAGCCATCACAACAAAGCGAATTCTCATAGCTGTTGCTTCCACCCTAGCCACACGTCTTTTCGTATATCCTAAAGAGCACAGGGTAATTCTTGTAGGAAATCGTCAACGTGTAAAACAATATAGCTGTTTATGAGAAACACTTCCGCCCTTGTTATTTAAAAATACTCTCTTCAGACAGTTTGTATGCTCTTGATTCAGCCGATTTTGAAGGAATTTCCACTTTCTTGCTTCGCAAGGCTAAGTGTTTTGAAAATAGCTCGGTGTAAATGAAAAATCTATTTAGAGGAAGTTGTTTGGCTTCTATCTTAAACATAGAAAATAAAAATAGTACCTGAGTCATCCAAAAAGTATCAAGAGGTTTCGATTTCGCTTTCAGATTCCGCACTATTTAAGCTCCCTAAGCTTTTTAGTGAGCAAAGCTTCCGATTTTTACTTTTTAAAATTATTTGTGATATCAATAATCCTCTGAATTTGCCCATCGTTTGTTATCTACACTTGTCTTCAGAATAAATTAAGGTAATGAAAACCTTTCACCTTATTTTAAAATACAAAAAAAAAAGAGAACTTTTCAACTTAAACTTTTAAAATTCATTACTGATCTATTTTTGCGCATCAATTTATTCACTTACTATGTTTTCTTGTACACAGCAATCTCTTTTAGGAAGTAGACCTTAAATGATATGAATAAAAAGAAATTGTATAAACGGCCGATGAAAGAGGAAAAGGTTGCTTCTCGTTTGAATGAAATTGTCATCTTTTCCCGATTTTTGCTTATAAACCTATTTTTGCATGCATTTCACTTTTCTTCGAACAAAGCTGATCTCGAATTTAATAGCGCAACTTCTCAATTATACAAACTGTATGGCAAGCAGCGTGTAAGATTGTTCGTAATAACTTGGATTGCATGCATACAAACACAGATGACTTGAGGTTAAACTTTTAAATAAAGCACTTTACCTCAGCTTGTATATGGATATAACCACTTATCCCATCATCTTGAAATTCTTGTTTTTATCACGTACTCTTGGGTCAAATTTCTTTCTGGTCCGGGCTGAAGCCCTAACGTTTTAGGAGTCGAGATCTCTTTAGTTTCGACTTGAACAATGGCGAGATAAGATAAGGAGGAAAAATTCTCCACAAGGGTCTAGTAAAAATTTATGCAATTTCCCTCGGCGATAATAATTTATCTACAGAGTTCATTGTTTTGAAAATCATTTCTAGGCCCGCTACTCAACAACAGTCAAGTCAAATTATCATTTTTCACTGTCAGCTTCTGTTATTGCTTTTGCTAATGAGAAGGGTTTTACAAAGTCTTACATTGTCCTTTGTAAGAAGAACTTTACGTAGGCTGACACCATTTACTTGATCCGAAAAATCACTGATCAACGCAAACTGAAAATCCCAATAATTTTGCAATAAACGAATCTTACTTTTTTCCTTTCTGTCTAAATTTACTTCTCGATAAATATATTTTAATTTTTTTTATTTATTACGTTTGTTAACAAAAATACTCTTGTTAATCACAAGAGCAAACATGTTTTATGTTACTTTTTAATTTAAGGTTGAACACACTTGACTGAAGAAGTAGATTAAAAATGTTTTTCTTTAAAGTTTGGTTGCTTTTATCTCACTGAAATTAGTTGCATCAGCCAGATGTCAACTTCACATGCCTTCCTGCTAATTAACGAGATTTAACACCAAAAGAATGGTGCCTCTTGTCTTTATGAATTATGCCTACGAAACTAGAGATCTTAGTGAGATTTGATTATAAATTAGCTTCATTTTAAGCTATACACTCTCCTTTGATACTGAACCTCTTGAAAAAAGAGAATAATACTAGGCGCGTGTAGATATAGAACTTCTCTTCAAGCTTTCAATTTGATAGCTCACGAGTGAGCGCCACGAAGAAGTTGAACACGAGAAGAGCCATGTATTATTATCTTTTTTTTACTATACAAACAATATAAGCCTTTGTTGACAAGAAAAGTCATCTGTATTAATGGTGAACACTCTGCAATTCATTCATAAACCTGATAGAGTGGCGCAAAAGGCGAGTGACGTGTCAGCAGCTGATTAGCGATATCAAACACATGTAAAAAAAATTATCGTAATTTTACACGAGTGCAGTTAAGGCTTTTCTAAGAGCTGGAAATCCTTTTGGAAACGAAAAAACACTTCTTTTGTAATAAATACAACTACTTGACTCCCTTAACAAGGATTTTTTTTTAACCTCCATAAAATAGCACTTGCTTTATGAGACTTCTAATTGCGATTGGCAATAGAGATCGGGCTCGGTTTAATTCATTTTTTTTTGTTTACAGATAGATTTCAAATGTAGAATTTTTTTTAGCGGTTTCACGTCAGAAATGTTCTGTTCTCTCTCCAACGATTCCATTGTAGATACTAGCGGATTTGTTTCGCTCTACATATCAAACTCATGGGGTACAAATAGTCTTAACAT